AAGAATATAGCGCGAGGATTACGTATCTTTCGACATCTCTCGGTTGATTGTTTCCTCGCGAAGATGCTGCTAGCACCGCGTCTTTAGAAAGTGGAGGTGTCGATGCATTTAAAGCACCATCTGTGTCATCATGTAGCAGAAAGTTTAATTAATATATCGAACCGTTCGAACATTTTTTGTCGGATGATTTTTGCAACTTTGTACGTTAAGAAGGGTGAGTAAATGGCGACTGAAAAAGGAAATGTTTGGGCTCGTTGGGACACTGCTAACTTAGCTAAGGTAGCCATCCCAATTTCTTCGCTTTCTGTAGGTTTGTTATTATTTTTGCTCGCTGGAGATTTGTCTTTTTTTTTTGTAATATTGTATAGTAGGGTATATTTTTTATTTTGGCTTCACAACCAAGAAATTTGGACTTGGTTTGACAGTAGTTCTAATTGTACATTGCTACCTCTGTTCATTCTTCTCATTCACTCATTCCCTTCATTTCTTCTTGTTTTATTCCACTAACTTCACTTATTTCTTTTATTATTATCCTACTTATTGATCTATTGTTTTTTATCTATTTGTAATTGCCCTATTGCTCCTTCCTTTTCTTTTCAACTTTCTGGCCCAATCTTGTGTCCTCTCATCCCTTCTCTTGCTCACTATTATATCCCCTAACTCCTCCATTTTTTCTCTAATATATAATATTTTCTTTAAATCTCCCTTTCTCATTCAGTATTCCCTAAAAATATGCGAGGAATTTTTCTTGCAAATTTGAAATCGAACAAATCTGTGAACAATCAAGCTTAAACTCGTTCGAATCACTATATTGTGGAACTGTTTAAAATTTTCAACGTTTCCAACGATACACGAAGAATCTTGTCGAACAAGGAGATTCTGATACATCTTTCGCCACGATCAGTGATACGCTTTGCAATAAATTAGGAGAATTTCACAGAATCGGTCCAACAAATTACTGACCGGTACCGGCATTACGTTGCGGTAACTGTAATTGGTGTGATGAAACACTGGTAACACTCCGCGATTTAACAAGTGTATTTGAGAAACCTTTTTGGAATAACCTAACGTCACCTGTTCGACCAATATGGCGATAACTAATTTGAGTAGAAAAACTGACTGTTGATCGAACGAAATTCATTAATAATGGTACCATAGAAGTGACATTTTTCAAATTTTCCGAACTGTCGTCTGTTGTTTACTAAATGAAATGTGTGAAAATAACGTGTAATCGATGTAAGTGTTACTTGAATTGTAGTGTAACGTAGTAAGCGACTTTAATTGAAGGTACTTTGCGTGTTATGATATGAAATACGTTTTCTAAAGCCTCGCGGAAAATGGAAAAAAATTCTTTATGAGCAAAATTTAAAAAATAAATAAATCTCCAGCAAGTAGAAAAAATAACTCGGGTAAAATTGTTCAATTACTTTGATAATATCTCAAGTGATTCATGCATTGGTTTTTCTTGCCACATTTATTGTTACTATTACAATTACAACGTTAATACAGTTGAAGATACACAATTTATATAGCGGATGCGGGAACAATTTACATGCCATCCTTTTTATTTTAGTATCTCACGTTTAACTAAGTAATAAATACATCAAATTCTCTCGAATCTGAAGATACTGTAGCTCGAAGAGAAAAACACCGGTATCGAGGAAATTAAGTGCAGATCACTCAACCAAACAAATGTCTCACTGAGTATGTGAAGGTACTTTTTGCACCCGCTATAAATCTTCTAGAATTAGATTTGTAACGGACAAGTTTTCTTTTGTTCCTTTCTAATCACGCTCTTTACAATTTCAAGAGCCGCAATAAGAGTTAATTCTTGCTTATTCTACCGCATCAACGCTAATCAGTAAAAAATTAGATTAATGTTTTCTTTATCATCGTTTCAGGTACTTCCTTCGATTATGTAACGGTTTTACTCAATTAGAAGCGGATCGTGAGCTAGGAATAATTTCCCTTGAATTTCGTTATTTACGTATCCCAGCACGGCGGACACGTTTGTGTGTGTAAACGAAAATAAAAAAATAGAAGGGGCGAAAGAAAGAACAGAGCGGTAAGTAGGAAATGTGCGAGGTGATCTTAGCTTAGCTCCTTGTCTTTGGAATTACACCTGACAGGTGGAGCCAAGGGAACGACAGCATGAGCTTTTTAATTTTAAACATGTACCCCGAAGATCTCCGGAGACGTACTACATCAGCGTTAAACGTTTGTGGCTTGTCATCGCGGAAAAAAATTTGTCACAGCTGCATATTTGAGCAGTTCGCGTTTGTCCTAATTATTCCTATCTAACTCGGAATTTTCGAGCGATTTACACTTTCGGCGATATTTTCTATTCATCGGATAAAGGAAATGGTTAAAATGCGTGTTTTTAATTTTATTTATAATATGTACATATTTTATGTATGGAAGCAGCAATTTTCGTAACGGTATTGAAAAAAAGTAATGTACTATTACTGTAAAGGTGTAGCTAATGTACTATGATTTATTACTCGGCAAAGAAATGTCTCAATAAATAGGAGTGTTTCTGTAACGCATGTCATAACTCCTTGCTTTCATAACTTTTGAACATTATCAGTTACTTCTATTTAATGTTTTTTTTTTTTTTTTTTAGTTATTGTTGTCATTTTAGTGGATTGGAAATACGGATGTAAATGTCGATCGAGTTCCTTTACGATGATCTGTGGTTATGTGAATATTCATGACATATTTAATTTAATTTAATTTTCCTTGTGCACCCTTAATTAGTGAAAAGAACTTTTAACGCAGTAAATTTGCATTATTTACAGAAAAAAATAACCAAAAATCTGTAAGTGTAAAATATTGTTGATTTGAATTGATTATTGAAATTGTACCTGACAATTCTAAGAATAGAAAAATTAGTCGTTAGAGATGAGCTAAATTTGTGAATTATTTAATAAACAGAAATGAACATAGTATATTTGCACTATTGACAAGAAAATTAGTCAACATATTTAAGTGTAAAATATTACTTAT